GATGACCAGGCACGCACTCAACGCGGCGGCGAGAGCAGCGAGCAAAGCCATGCCGACGGTGGTGGCGGCGTTAGCTCCGCTTTTATCGTCTAACAATTCATCTGGCAGTGCTTGAGTTCCGTTCGCCCAAATGACAATTGCTCCTCGGTTACTACTCCCATGGTACTTTGGGCTGTGGTCGCCGCCATACGCCCAGATCACGCACATGTGTGTGCCATTGATCGGCACTTTCCCCCCGTCGATCGTCCGATTGACCTCCAGGAGCGCAAAGCTCTTGTTCACCACCGCCTTGGCATTGTTAATGGTTCGATTCAGGCTGGGATCCGGTTCCGGCGTTGCCTCCGACTTGAGTGCATACGTGGCAGTCATCATCGTCTCCTCCCCGAATCCCGCTATGACGGCATCTGAGCCGCGCATCTTGCAGTCGTTCGACCACCCGATCCCGACCCACCTTCCTGCCGGCGCCGTCAGGCCGAACTTGGCCGACAGCGTCCCGTTCGAATAATACAGCCTCGATCCCGACGGTCGGATCTCGTGCATGTACTGAAACTCCGCCGAATCCGATTTCCCCCAAGCGAACCGCACAGCGTCGTCATGAGACCCTTCGTGGGCTGTCGTCTGCACCATCGCCATAACCAACAAGCTGGCAATCAAACAAATCTCATTCAAGCCGATAAACGAGGAGCTACTGGTACTGGTAGTATAAGGGAAAGAAGCGGCAGCAGCAGATCGACAAGGCGATGGCGATGGCGATGATGGCGATGGCAATGATGGAGATGGAGATGGAGATGGAGATGGAGATGGAGATGGAGGGACGTTGTGATTCCTCCTAGGAGACGTGGACTTACGTTGGCCCATAGTGGCGTTAGCGACGTGAGCGTGGCGATCGGTCCTGTGAGAGACGTCGCGTGGGAAGATCAACGAGTCAAACCTGGCTCGCTGGAACCAACGGCATAGGTCGATCGACGGCCTAGATTGATGAACAGATTGCTCGATCGAGGCCCTAGATGGTTCGACAGATTGGTCGATCGACGCACGAGATTGATCGACGCCTTGGCCGTTCGATGCGCATATTACCTTGCACGCTGCAGGTCTACAAGAGAGGAGGCACAACAGACTCTCCCGCCATCTCCGTCTCTCTCCCCCTCCCTCGTTCTCACCCGGCACTTTCTCCGGATCCGTCCGCTTCCTTCTGCATCCGTCCGCCCGCAAGCACGGCGCAACGTGCCGCTGTTGGTACTGGGTTCCCGCGAACCATTCTTCCGGCCTCATCCGGGGGCCCAAGTCCAACTGACCCGAATTCTCAATTTCTGACCGTACATTTCCAAGATTCTCGATTTCTGACCGCAGATTTTGAAGATCAACGACTGGAAATAAAGAATCGGCGTAGTACGTGGGACTTGGCCCCTGAATCCCCTGATGCCTTCCCCTGCGGTAGCTCGAGCGTCAGACCACCTAGTCCCTTGTTTGTGACAAGAGTGCAGTAACCGCCTAACCCTAACCAGGTTTTTTTTTTTTTTTTTTTTTTTTTTTGGACCAGGTTTTTTTTTCAAGAGGCTTACCTGTGGAATCTGGACAGGAAGGCCTTTTTTTTTTTGACCAATTCAATTTTCTGTCGAATCTGGACAGGTCGGCCTTCCAGAGGGCCTTTTTTTTATTGTCATTATAGTATTACGGGGAACCCCGTAGCAGCCACATCCGCCTGTCGAATCTGCACAGGACGGCGTTCCAGGCCTTTTTTTTTATTGACCAACTCAATTACCTGTCGAATCTGGACAGGACGGCCTTTCAGGCCTTTTTTATTGTCATTATCTTTCAGGCCTTTTTTATTGTCATTATAGAATTACGGGGAACCCTGTTGCAGCCACATCCGTGCGCAAGCCTCCAACGAGGGAACATGCGGGAGCTGCACCCACCTGCAGTAGGTGCGATACCTGCTACAGGCTACAGCAGGTGGGCGATACCGGCCAGGGGTCAGCCGGTAGCATCAGGATCGATCTTCTTCGATGGGCCAGTCAGTCACTGTGCCTCCCCTCCAGTGGTGGTCCCCTCCCCCTATGAACATCAGCAGTCTCTGCTCAATGCCACTCGGGGGGACCAACGGCATATCTCTAGGTGGCGGGCACCAAGCTTGCCCAGGAAGGTACATGAGGCCAATGGGGATTGAACCCAAGACGACCTCCTGAATGCCACTTGCGTGCCTTACCAACTAAGCTAGGCCGCTGGATACCAGGTAGACTTTACACTTTTCTTCCTTCTGGCATACATATATAT